TTCTATTTACAGGTGATCGAGACTCAAGCGGCAGTACATTGATGTATTGCTACCATAGATTTTCTGGAGGAAAAACTAAGACCTTACCCTCCAACTGTCAATGATGAATCAATGTATGAACATGTGAAAAAGGTTGGAGAATCTTTGCTTGGGAAATCGAATGTACTCCTCAGTCCAATGGTTATGGGAGCAGAAGATTTCAGTTTCTATTCAAAGAAGATGGCAGCTGCTTTCTTCATGATAGGAACAAATAACGAAACACAAAAACCAATCATTCGATTGCACTCACCCTACTTGATTATTGATGAGGAGGTTTTTCCCATAGGAGCAGCCTTCCATGCTGCAGTGGCCATATCTTATTTGGATAAGCATACTGTACTTAAAGCTCAGTAAGTATTGTAGCTAACTTTCTATTCTTGTGATGAAGATTCTGTTAAGTTACTAATGTTTGCATGAAGTCAACAAGCCAAAGTATTTGAATGCATTTTGCTTTGTTGTACTGGTATTTTGTAAGTATGCTTGTTGCCATCTCTTATTGCACATGTATGCTTGCATGTTGTTATATACGTTTATATCTAACACTTGTTTTTGCACGTCATTACAAGTGTAATGAATGCATTATGTGTAAATAAGCTTCTATTAATGGTTAATGGAAATGTTGTTACAACCATATACTTTGCTTTGTCTTTGAAGTTTCTGTTTTTGTGATGCTTTTCTTTTCTTAAGCTTGATTATAACATGGTATCAAAGCATCCCACGATCCCTATAGGACCTTAGACAATCTTCTTTTCATTCTCTTGAGTTCTTACTGGCCTTCTATAGCCCCTGTTTTCAAGTTAAGTCATTGTCACAATGATAAAATGTAATATAGCCCAACAACCTCCTACAGTCTTTGATGGCTTGAATTATGGTGTATTTGAAAGAAACGGAATGCTCTTGAAGAAAATTGTTGGTTTAAACCTGATGCTAAGTGTAAGATATGTAATCAACTTGGTCATGTTGACAAGGTTGTAAAAATGAGCCAACTGTTCAAGAAAAAACTCCACAAATGACTAACAAAGCTGTAATAGCAAAAAAAAGTCTATTCATGGCTTCAACTAGTTCTCCGTGCAAGATTGATAATGATGAATGGCTTCTTGACAGCGGATGATCTAACCATATGACTCCCTCTAAAGCTAAGTTTATCAGTTTGGACAAAGATTATAAGTCAAGTGTAAAAATAGGTAATGGAGTTTATCTTCATACAATGGGTAAAGGCATTAGAATAGTGAAATCTCTATCGGGGTTTAGATATATTTCTGAAGTTCTCTTAGTTTCTTATATAACTCAAAATCTGTTAAGCATTGGACAGATGGTAGAGAACTCATTTGTTTTGTTTTTCAA